TTTAGAGTTTTACATTTTACACAAATATGTTTGGAGCAACTGAGTACTAGGTCTTTTACAAGTATACTCTGGTTACACTGCTGAACTACAACAACCTTGTTGTGACAATTGTCTTAGTTTATTGAGAAATTTTATTTGCAGAATAGCAAACCCAACAATTCAATATTTACGCAGATGTAATTGCCTTTATTTGTTTTGTTATGGTTGTAAAAAGTTATATGATGATGTCGTTCTGCTTCCCAAACCACTAGGTTCCAATACACGATGCTGAGCGTTGCTTTGTGGCTCCTCCTTTTAGGTCTTACCAATCATGCGAAAAGGTATTGTTTGATTTTAAAAGAAACTGATTGTTCTGATTTGAAATGTATAAACAATTCCATTTTTTTTAAAGCATTAGCTGAAAAGATGCAGTAGAATTTTGACTGCTCGTCGCACTCCAATTTGTTTTTATTGGAACTATGCAGTTACGGAATTAAACCAGTCTACACCTGCGTATTCAGTTAATAGTTTTAATAAATGCTAAGCTATTTTTTATTTTCTAGCTTGTTTGATCACTTGGTTGTTTTACAGTAGGCGTCTTAAAAGCTTCCATTAAAAACTTGTCAACTGAGCTAAGCAATAAGCTTTGTCTGCACCGGATCAATCTTCATCATCAAATATGACAGCAGTTTTTGTTCACATACATATATAATGTAATTATCTGACAATATCTATCTAGACATATTCAGACATATTGTTTAAGTTTATTATACCAATGAGAAAACATGCTAGACGTATTTCTCATCCGTTGACAGACACAGCGAAACCCATAAACCTCATTCGTTTCAGTGAATGGTATAACAGTTCTATATATTTCTTTTTGAAAATGTACATTTATAAAACAACGAAAAATCCAGCTACCAATTTACGTTAAATAATTGCAAAAAAAATGGAATCTGCGGAAAATTTGACAAAATAGTTGGCTTTCGCACTTGGTGAATAAAACGTCCGCTGTGTTCGATGGTCACAAGAGAAGAAAACAATGTTTATTTTGGCAACATAAAGGCGCGATTGCTTAGTTTGACAGCTGCATCAATACCGTTTTACATTAAAACCATTCATCTGCACAGTGGTAAAAGATATTAACAATTCAATTCAAATACTTTACCTTAAATGACTAACAATTCAATCTTACATCTATTAACTTTAATGACTAACAATCCAATTTCAAACAATCCATAAATGACAACTTAAATATAAAAATACAAAATATAATATTATAAAACAACGATACCTATTTACACAAATATGATGAATTCTAAACATCACTACTAATATTAATTGTTATTACCTGGCTTTGTTACTATACTATAGAAGGTAAATATTTGTACAATTTACTTACGTTCCAGAAAGAATTGATTTATTAGATGAACAGAATGTATTCAAGCAGTTTTTTAATATCAGTGTCGCCATTACGTTGGTGTTATTTGCACAAACCAAGCTTGGCCGATTGCACTGACAATTATAATGGTAGCTTACTCCTCCAAGCTCTCAATCTGGAGGAAGTAGCTCAGCTCTTTACTTTTGTTCTAAGACCAACAACAACAAGCCCTTACGCAGAAGAATATCAATAGTTCAATTAACTAACAAAAGAACTAAACTACTTACAAAATTTTCTAAAGTAGCATAAAAGCCAAAAATTCAATAAATCGTACAAATTATTGACTTTTATTTAGTTTTCAACTGGTGTCTATTAAAAAGAAAAACAAATTATGTTTTTGATTTTGCCAATACTTGTACTTATATGCAAGAAAATAAAACCGCTTTAAGTTCTTAAATGTATTTGACTTAACGGAAAATTAACTTATACTTATATTGTCGCTGAATTTTTCTTAATGTAAATTGAGTCTTGAATATTAATTTTCGATAATTGTGCAACGTTGCGTATGAGTAATGCAGCCCAAGCGAACTTAATTATTCAAATTACTTTCTTTTTGTGTCAACATACATATTTGATTCGAGTCAGCCTTGGCCCAAACGTCACAGAAGGCGCCAAGATAGCGACAGAGGCGAAAGTTAATTTTGTTTATGTTTTTAAGTAGTTTGATGAACTTAATTAAAAATAAATAAGCCAACTTGTGTATTAATGCGACAACCTTGCCGCCACCAATACGCACCCACAACGCGTCAAGCCAAGCGCAAGGCGTAGCAAGTTCAACTTCGATGAAGCAGCTACAACCAGCAGTTAACATTTCAGTGGCAGGAACGAAAGCTGCTCGGATTTGTGGCATGCCAGCACGGATCTGGGTGGTTTTGTTGTTTTCGCTGCCGCTAGTGTTGGTGTTGGTTTTGGCCTTTGAGGGAAGCAATCGCTGTTGCTGCCATTTTAGCTTGACTTTGCGTATGGCTTTGAACTGATTGACTTACTGACTGACTGACTCACTGACTGACTAACACAAAACTTGCTGTCAAACTCTGTGGACTCTGCGGACACTGTTGCCACAATGGATCCCGAGTTCGGGCTCAGTTTAACTGATGCATAAATAAATAATTTAATTGCTTGCATGTTCAAAATTTCAGCAATTCTCTAGAATATTTAGAAATAGAAATCTGGGAAGTACACAGATTAAAACAAAAAAAAAAGTAAAAAAGCCAAAGTCGGGTGTCCGAACTGTGAAATACTCTGTACATATGTTTAGAATAATTATAGAAATTACTAAAATTAAGAGAATTAAAAAAAAAATTCATCGATTATACCTCTCTTGGTATTCGTACTGACGTAAAGGGTGTATAATTGCACATTTACAAAGCAATTGCGTTTATGTGAGTGTATGAATGCCTATGCGCATCTATTCGTGTCTGTGTAAACATGTTTGCAGTCAACCAAAGCACCAGCATCAACAACAGCTGCGGGCAGCGCTTGGGAAACGCTGGAGCAGCAAATATATTTATGGCTATAACTTCTTGTAAAATCGGTCTATCATAGTGAAACTTGGCATACGGACTCATAATCACTAACTAGAGTATTTGCAAAATTTGAGTTCGAAATTCCAAGAATTACGGGAGTTAGAGAAAATCGCATTTGCGGTGGAGAGGGGAGCGGGAGGGAAATTCCAAAATATACATTTTCTGCGTATTCACATAAGGCATCTGGGACTAAAATTTAGTGTTCCTAGGTCGTATAGTCTCCAAAAAATAGGCGATTATACAAATGGAAAATCGGGAAAACCCCCATAGGGGGGAAGTGGGGGGAAAATCAAAAAAATAAAACAAACTTACACAAATAAAACAAATTAAACAAACTAAAGGCATCTTTGTGCAAAATTTGGTGTCTTTAGCTCTTATAGTCTCTGAGATCCAGGTGTTCATAGGGACGTCTGTCCCTGTCCCCGGACAGACAGACAGACGCAAGGATCTCAGAAAGTATAACAACAGAAAGTATAGAACAACCAAACCTGGTATCCAGATTCTCCTGAGCCCGAGAAAGGACGAGTTTGTTCATTTTTCCCGATGCACCCCCCACTTCCCGCTATTCGCGATTTTCTATAAATACCGTTTTTCTTGGAATTTTAAACTAATCTGATAATCGCATCCAGTTAGTGAATGTATATCCGTATCCCAAGTTTTATTATGATAGGTTGATTAGAAAGAAAGTTATAGCCCTATAACCAGGCCCAAGCTCTGCCCACAACTGTATTTGTTGCTGGTTTGACATAATTATTTAATGCACACATACATATGTACAAGTACACAAACACGCATAGACACGATTCTGATGTAAATGTAAATGCATGTATGGCATATTTTATATTTAATTTAACTAATTAATTAAATCAATTTTTTAAATAAATTTTTTTTTTGTGGGAGGGTTCAAAGTATTTTACTTTAGCATTCCTTTCTTGTTTAATAATCGTATTCAGAAATCCATTAATAATAATTAAGAATTCGAATTTTATAAATTGTCGTTTAAACTTGTAGCTATATTCACCCAAAAGTTAATATTTTAATTAACTTGAATAACTTAACTTAAAATAATAAATATCAAAGAATATCTTTTGAATATACTTAATATAAATACCTTCTTCAAACAACAATACATCCCCTATTGTCAAATGGATATACAATGATTTGCATTTGAGGATTCGTTATTTCTTTCCTCTCTTTTTATTCTGGAAGCTTTACGGAACACTCTTTATTTTATGATCTTTAGATTGGGATACAGGTCGGTCGACTTGAAAGTATTGCAGATAACATCTCCTCTACTGTTATATATTTTTGTATTTCTGAACCTTTTCGATACATGTCGGTCAACTTCAATTAATTGCTTTAAATTATTAAGCATTTCTTTCCAATAATAGTACCTCTACACCTTCACGGAACCTTCATTAATTTATGAAAAACCTTTAGATATGGATACAGGTCGGTCAGCTTTTCACTTTGAATGGTCAGCAAGTTTTCATTTAAAATTCTCAACTTCGTTGCTTTGGACGTTGTAACATACTAGATATATACGAGTAATAAAAAGAAGCGGCGCTGAATAAGTTTTCTTAAATAGTTTCTTGCAAAGAATTCCACGCTGGTAGAAGCTGGTAGAAGCGCATATTTGGCCAATCTTTAATGCGTAAAACGTTTGAATTGCAGGCCAAAACTTTTTGGCCAACTTCCAACATTACAAACTGTTGTTGTAGTAGTAGTTGTTTTTGTTGTTGGTGGTGGTGATGGTGATGGTGATGCCTGTGCCCAAGCAAGTCACATTTGTTTTGCTTTGCCTCGGCTACTAATATTATTACGAAAAATATTTGCACACAAACTGAGGCGAAGGCGCAAAAAGTTCTTAGCCAATTTTTGTGGCGTGCTCGTTCGTCGCTTCGGCAAAAGTTGCTAATAAATTAAATAAACATGCCACCCCAGCCCAGCCCACCCCACACCCATTGCAAAGGCTCTGCTGGTACACATGTACATACATACAAACATACTTATTTACAAACACACGTATATATAAACAAAAAGCTGGTACTCACCGCTGCAGAGCATCAGCATCAGCAGAATGGGGAGGGAGAGGAAGGGCTGGATAATGCAGCTGCTGCTCCTACTCTGGCTCCCGCTCTTATGTTTTCCATTTGCAGCTACAGCCATGTTGTTGCATTAATGGTGCTGACTCGCTCTAAAAAACTAAGGCTCTCACTCTCTGGCCACGTCTGTTGCTGTTTCTGTTGCCGGCCTGATGTTGTTTGTAACGGTTTCCTTTTATTTTTTCTTTGCCTTTGCAAGTTTCCGTTTGCGCGTGTTGCTAAAACTTTAATTTTTCAATTTGTTGCGGAATTTTTGGTTATTTTTCTTGGCTTCTCTTTGGTCGCGTTACCGCTTCTACTGCCACTGCCACTGCCACTGCTGCTGTTTCTTCATTTTCTTCCGTTCGTTGTTGCTGTTGCTGTTGTTGTTGCTTTTGTTTATTTCTATTTTCTGTTTGCTCTGCTTTCAGTTTGTTTCGTTTTGTTGTTGTCTCATTTGTGCAATGTAATAAATTTCACTTGACCGCCAACGAGGGAGCGCGTCACACTCATACACACTCACACACACGCACTCTGTGTGTGTATGCTGCTATCCTTGTTGTTCTTGATGTTCTTGTTGTTGTTGCTTCTGCTGCTACTGGTGTTGGTTTAGCCTGACTTGGGTGGTTGACTGCGTTTTGTCGTTCGCTATTTATTTTTATTTTCCATGCGCTCCTTGCTATTTGCTTTTCTTATTATGCTACGCCGCAAATACGCATACACACCCACTAGAACTTACACACACACACGCACAGACACACCCATGCACATGCATACGCAGTCACATTTACATGCGCCCTGCCTTTTCTATATTTGTCCATTTGTCCATTTGTCCATTTGGCACCGCTGCTCAGTGCTTTCTATGTTTTTTTTATTGCCTGTCTTTGTTTTGCCTGTTGTTTCTGTTGTTGTTGTTGCTGCTGTTGCTGTTATTATTATTGTTGTTGTTCGTTCTTTGGTTCTTTGGTTTTTGCGTGCGCAAAAATTAATTGAAACATCAGCAAAACGTCAGACTGTGCACATCCGCCTTTTTTATTTGTTTCAGCATCAAAGTCTATGGATGGATGGAGGGGGTCGGTCTACTGATGGCCAAGCTGCAAAAGGAAAGAAACACAACGAAATATTAAGTTTTTGAACGAAATACAAATATTTTGCGAGTATTTCACTGCAATTGCTCTTATATTCATTGCATAATGCAACTACAACCATAAATTCTTTTGTTTCTGCCGCTAAATGATTGTCAAAATATCCGCAAATCGAAAATCAAATCAAAGTTTTGCTTTAGCATATCATTTTGGAATAAAATCGAAGCATTGCGTTTTTATACTGGTTGCAAAATTCAAATTTTGATTTCTCCTATGACCACAATTTAAAGCACTGTCAGTTTTTCATGCAGTTCGTTCTAATAGGCTAAGATCGAAACATATTTAAAGCAAAAGTTGGCGAATGTAAGGGGAATCAAAGGTGAAGTCGTAAAACTATGTTGAAAACAATCAATTTATTAAAAAGCTGTTACGAACATTTAAAAAAATAACATATATCTGAATTAATTTGGTTGGGATTAAATAGTTTGCCTTTTCAATAACATCACACGACACTATTTGTCGAAGACGACTAAAAAAATACGCATCCTAGATCTCCCATATAGAACAAGATAGAAAAATATATGTACTACTGAAGCTCAAACAGTCCTGTTAATTAAGTATGTTAGTTAAATAAAATTTGTTCATTGTCTACGTTAGGACAGATTGCAAATAAAAAGAATTTATAAAAAAAGTATAACATCAGGATGTCAGCAATAAAATAGTAGAACTCTTGTTTTCTTTTTCTGTGTACTCCTATTACTTTTTGAGAATTGATGAATTGCTTAGAAGTGACTGATTTAAACACATAAATACAGAGAGAATATCGAGCAGAATACACATATAGTACTTGCTTACAAATGTATTTGATTAACTGATATAATAGCTTTACTTTTATTTCATTTTCTTTGCATGCCTACAAGCTCCTATAGATTAGTGAAGTACAAGTTAATTTACTTCAGAAATTTATAATATTCCTTAAAACCCTGCAATATCCTTTAAGTACACAAAGCTAATCAAGAAGTTATTGAACTGTTGGTCCAGTAACGAGTAATGAATACGAGCAGCCGCCAAATGCTGATAAAGTCAAAACCCTGCCACAACAATACCACAATTAATTAGTCATACAATACACTCAATTATAATTAATATGCACTTAAGATGCTTGAAGTCAAGAAAGAGGTGACATGCCGTCCATTGGAAATACTAAGCTGCCTACATTGAGGTTGTTGGTATATTGTTCATGGTCTACTATATACCCTGTGGTTGTATGCTCCAGACAATACCAATTTAAAAAAGGAAATGAAACGAATGGCATGGAGTGAGCATAAATTAATAATGCTGCATTCAAACGTACAGTAATGGACCAACGGCAGGGCTTAGATTGATGACACGACTGCTTTCGGCCACCCAGAGCTCCACATGCTCAGGTGTAGCACATTAAATTTACATAAAATCAATTAAAATCGTACAAACTAAGCCTCAAAGCAACCAACTACGAGCAGGCTTTGCATCTGAAGACAAGACAAAAGACCACAGGCAGATTTAACGCAAAACACTTAAGCTGTTTATACATACATATGTCTCGTTTATGCGACTTGAAACCACGAAATCGAGCAGCTCGATTCAAGGAATTACATGTTCTCCCATTTTTTCTTTCTTAGCCATTCAGAAATTGACAATTTAATAACAAACAATATGTTTCTATACCATATATTTTACTACAATGACCAAATAAACCATAACCAAATAAAGTAAACAACTATTTAGAAGAAAGTCGAACAAGCATAGTAGTCGAAGTCTACTTTTTATAGGTTTCTTAAGTATACAAGTATATGGTTATGGCGATGTTATCCAATTAAAATTCATTTCATGCCTGCCTTGGTCTCTACATAAACGCTGCCACACACTACACACTTAGTATTGTATGTGTGGGCTGTTGCCAACCCTTTTCAAATGAAAATCATGTTTTGTAATTAGAAGCCATGAATAATTTTAGCACCTAGTTCTTAAATATTTAAAACGAAATCACACACACGCATACACAATCTTATTGTAAGACAGTCGGTGAGGGGTTTACGCAAAATTGTTTGGAACATTGGCCATATACTTGATGTGATAACTTGGCTTTTGGCATATACAGTTTTGAGTGAGCTTCAAGTTTAGGTCTCCTTAGGTGTGTGTGTGGGTGTACTTTTGTGTTTGTATACGTAGGTTGCGTGTGCCATTTACATAAGTAAGTATACATACGCATACACACAAGCACAAAGCGCTATTTTTCTCAGCCTCTTGCATAATTAATTAATAGGCAAAAAAGACGCTGCCTTGTTAAGTATGCAAATATCTTAGTCCAAACAGTTTCTGTCTGACAGTTTTCGCATTAACCTGTCAGTCAAATATTAACATATTTCTTATATACACAAACGCAAAGGTATTTCGATGTAACATTGTGCTGTAAGGTATTAGTTATCAACGTTAATATCATCATTTTAAACTAAACGACAACTTATAACAATTTACTCTCAATGATACGTAATTATTATTATATTTTCATTCTTCAAAACTAAAACGCATTTTAAACGTCATTATTTTTTCATCAAACCTTATAAACTTAAGAATAATATGATTGAAAAAAATGGATATACTTGTATTTAACCATATACAAGAAATCATGTGTGATCAGAGTGACGTGCTCTCAACTCTTATCTACCCTATATATCGTACAGCAATTATTTAAATTGTATGTTGAAAGTACTCCACTTTAATGTAAGCATAGAGCACCTTCTCTGTCATTGTTCCGCACCAAGCAGCAGGTAGTTTAGAAAACTGAGATTGTGTAAATGGACAAAATAATGAAAGATATTGGGAGCTATGGCAACACAATGGCCATCTAAGGCCTAAGTTGGTGGGTGAGCATTATAATGGAGTCCTTGCCAAGACCCTAGCAAACTGCTCGTTAAGTAAATCAGGCATATACTATAAATTGAGAACAGCATACTTTTAGGCTGCGCAGTTTTTTAATACGAGTCTATTCGATAGACATAACGGTTTGGGCTTACCTATAACTTGTGACCTGGGAAGCTTACAAACCAAAAGCAACATACCGTTACGCAGAAGATATAAAAATTGAATTTCAAAATTTCGTATCAGACATTTCTTAATTCCAATGTTGAAGATCGTAAAGGGTTCTTATAAATTGGGCGCGTACAACACTAGCACTCTATTCCCTTCTAATTTTGGAAATAGTATTGTAAAAAATTAGAAGCTTAAAATTTATTAAAAACAGATCACAATCCAATAGGGAATCTTAAATCCTCATATTATATGTATAATTGACCATTTTTTTATAAACAGACACAATTTTGTAGGCGTTTATTCGATTCGGTTTAATTCATAGAGGCTACTCATAAAGTGCTAATGCATTGTTAAAAAATTCACGAAATTAAGATCTGTCGCCAAGAAATGTACCAAATAATTACTAAGCTTAAGTATTATACTATGATTATGTATTTCAAAAAACGTTGCATATGCCCAAAAGTGAATATTGACGAAAATTAAAGAGGACATGAAACGAAACCCGTGTACCTATGTCCCAAACATATGTAAAGCAAAGTAATTATTTTCTATAGTGTACATTAACAGAACAGATTTAGTGCTAAGCCTTTGCTGACAGCATCCTAATGAAATCATATTGTCCATGCTCATCGCTCCCTTGTCTACGAGTATCTGTGTTTGCGTATGTTTGTGTTTGTTGTGGGCGTCCAGTGCTTATTAAAGCTGGCGCCAAACTAAAGGGCTTTAAAAGGGAAAACCAAAGTGCCCTGTGCTAACAGAAGGAATTGTTATTGCCATGTTCAATGGGCCGAAACACTAAAGCGGCATGTCAGCACACATACACACCCACACCCACACACAAAACAAAGCAAGGGCAGTGGTACACAGCGTCGCCACACGTGCCTCTGTATGAATGAAGCAATGACTGAATGGCTATGCACACCAATTGACTGACGGAATGAGTGCCTATATCAGTGCTGTATTGCTGTATTTGTGTATCTGCGTGTAGGTGTATGTTATGTGTGTGTTATGGCAGTGGCCAGCTGGCCTTTGATGATAGCTTTTAGGCATCTGCGTGGATGTAATTGCTTTAAAAACATGTGCCCACAATTTAAACACGTGCTGCATATCTGATACACCAAGGGTTCTATGAATTTCGATGTTTAACAAGCTCATGATGCGTTCGCTCTGAGACTGAGTTGAGAAACTAATTTTTAATTCAAAGGCTTTATTAAGGCTAGCTCAAAGATAGACTACGACTACTAGACTATGTTCATAAGGGCAGCAAGTAACACTAATAATGTAATACATTGAAGGTTCGTTTCATGGCTACAATATCAAAGGAAAATGAAATTTGTGCTAATGCCTTAATAACACTGCTGTTTGTTTACTATTATTATTGAACTATGAAAAGCATCAAAAATGTTATTCATAGTCTCTCTTTCAGGTTTCTGCCAACTTTAAATCGGTCTTGCTTAGTTAAGTTATTCAGAGGATACAAATCGCTAAAGCCCGACGAAAATGTACACACCGATTTGCATGAAATTTGTGCAAAGTATTTCATCATGCTGATTAAGAAATACTAAATGCTTACGTTTGAGGGACGAAATTAATTTTTGGA